GTTCTCGTCGTCCTCTACAAAAAAGATCTGATGCAATTTTCCCGTATCTCGAACGGTTTGGGAGTTATTGGCAAAAAACGAAAATTTGGAAGAAATTGAAGGGGTACCCCTTGGAAAAATCTCGGAAAAATCGAAAATTTTTTTTTGTTGGTTATTATTAGCAATGTTCTTCCGACGTCTGATTTCTTTTTAAAAAATGCGTTTCTAAAGTGCATAAACTTTTGGAATTGACTATATAGCCAATACATCCTTAATATGTTTACTTTCGTGCGAGAGTACATAGATAGATTCAGATGGAGGGACGAGTACCATTTATCACGTTCATTAATCAAACGTAAATGAAAACAATCTTCACATCAGGCAAGTCACACTAGCCTACATTTCACTGTTAATCGTGTGGTATTTGCCTGCAGAAAGACACGAGTGCTTTTTACCAACATGAAAGTTGGCCATTCACTTTTAGTCGATCGCATTTCTGTCTTGACATATTATAGGCTAATTATAGAGTCAAAAAACGCTACATAAAACTTTCACAATATGGAATACAAAAAGTTTATCAATTTCTATTGTACAATAACTCAGTAAAAAAATTAATGTCATTAAAATTTATGAATTTTTTTTAGCATTCAAGTCCTCGTGAAATAATAATAGAAACTGTTGTATTTACCAGTATAAAAATTGTGACAATTATGTATCCACTAATTAATCGCGTCTAGATTAAATTATAGCTGAGAACTTGATTACTGTAAGCCTGTCTGCTACTTGTTTTCACGAACCTAACGTATCTAATAGCGAAGAAGAGATAATCCCATAAAGCGCGCGGCGTATAAAGTTTAATAAACAGTCACCTCTATATAACGGGTGGATAAAATCAAATCTATTTACCTGGACAAGTCTAAAACATTTTCTAGTAGATGAAAAACCGATCATACAATTTTAATACCGAAAAATGTACAATTACGAACTTTAAAATAAGTCTAGACAACTGTTTTTATATTTAGAACATATCGTTGTAACGTTCAATGACACGCATAATCGTGTCCGGTTGAATTGTGCTCTCGCTCTGCCACGGCAACGGAGTTGTCAGACTTGAACGCGTGCGAACGTCGGATCTATTCGTCACGCGAATATCAGCGTCAGGAAAAGCGTGAAAATTAACGAGCACCCGTTGCATTATCATTATTCGTACGGATAGAACTGGCGCACGACTAGGCGTGGTCCGCGAACCTGCGGTACTCTTTCCTTCCTTTCTTTTCCTCCTGTCTCTAACCATTGCATATCTGTCGGTTATCTGGCATCGAGCCACTTCAACGCCTCGCGATACACTAGCTCGTAACGTTATCCCTTGACAGATTTTCAAGTGAACTTCGCTTATATTAAGAATTCAATACGAAATTGTATAACGAAAGAATATCACATTACATTGAATTTTATACAGTGACCCCAGATTAAACGACCAAACTGCACCAGTAGTGAAGTAGAAATAAGGAGAAAATGTTATATAAACATATGTTTGCAACTGCTTTATAAAAACGTTGTAATAAAAATAGCAACTTCGGTGCTGGTATATCAGAATGTAATAATAAGGCAATGGTATTTATGAAACTTGCTCCTAGCCGTGTTTATTATTTGAAATAGTCGAACGCAATGCCGCAAAGATCGAATTATGGAAACTTCTGTACTGTCATGTTGAGTGAACGAACTAATAGAAAGGATTAATAGTGCATTCATTGAACTAAATCAAAATAAAGATGAAATTCAGAGAGCCGTAAATTCAGTTTTTCTAAAATACGAAGCTTGAAACTGAGAACGTCACTTTGAAAGAGAAACGTCAACTTCTTATCAATGTAATCAAGTATGATAATAAAGCGTCTGCAAATACAGTTTGATCGTTTAATCTAGAGACACCCTGTATAACAGAAAGTAAAATATGTCGATTCTCTCATATACTTGATATACATAAAATATCTTATTTTTTGTCATTTTTGAGATTTTCGACAATTTTAATCTGAAACATGTTTTGTTTTATTGTAAATATTTTAACGATTGTACTACAATAAGTGAATGTACAAACTTTCCTATTTGAATGAACGGTAAGATGCATTTGGCGCAACGCTCGATTCCGTTTACTTCTATTTACGATTAAAACTTTCTAACTGGAGGCAGACACGTGGCCAGGTGTCAGACGTTATGACTCCACTGAACGATGAAAGAATACGCGGCGAACATCACTTTTTTAGACAGGAAACAAGTTTCGATAACCTTTGCGGTCGAGGGAATTGGAGAACGTCGGAGATCTTCTTCGCCTTCATGCGCTTCAATTAAAATGATTGAACATCATCGGTTCTTATAAAGTGCAATCAATTGCTTTTTAGCTAAGCTGTTTGTCTTTCGACTTTTAAATTACGACATGTTTCTTTCTTATATATATATAAACTGCAAGTTTCCAATTAGTGGTTCTATTCATTGAGAATATAAACTATACGTCCAGGACATCAGGTTGATTCTTCCTTTGCAATGTATGGAGAAAGACTTATATAATTCTGTTCTTAAGGGGCTAGGGTAGTCACGTGACTTTTCTAATATTCGTCGGTAAAATGTTGACGTTTTCTCCTGTGACCCTTTCCGACGACCAGGTAAAAATAGTGCAAAATATGGACTTACGTTATGGACGACTACACTTTTTATCCTTATGTGACAAGATTTTTGGATCATCAAGTACCTCTTTGGGAAGATATCCCCTCAAAATAATTATAGTAAAAATAGTATTTGCAAATTCCTTTTCTGTGGAAGTTCGTAATTTATAAATGGGATCGAGTAAATAGAAGAGACGACTTAGGGACAGGAAGCGAGGATAAAATCAGCAGGAATTTCCTTCTTACAGTTAATAGATGCTCGATTGTCATAAGCTATCCGCTCAAATAACTCACTTCCTCGATTGTTAATTAATCACAGGCAGCTTCGATCATGGGGCCTGTACAAATTATAAGAATTAAACCGTTCCACCGGCGTGGTAGCCTTCGCGAAAAAGGAAAGAAAAAAGAATTAACGCCGCCACCGCACTAAACGCAACACAGTAGGTATCCTTGACACAGAATCGTACACTTGGATCGCGTTTTGAAGGGAAAAAATCGCTGCTGGAAAACAGCGAATAATGAGAGCTATGACGTAGATTGACTACTCTACCTATTCTGATCTTTTATGCTCTGCTACTTTTGCCAGACATCCTTTGGATTTTAAGTTACTATTGATACTATTAATTTTGCTGACCTGGGTACTACGAAGGCCTTCGGTTGTGACGAATAATAGCACCACCAATGCTACAACGTATCCAGAAAATCTCCCCGCCATTCTGTAACAATAAAGAAAACAATACATTAAACGAAACATCTAAAATAAGCATTTAACCAACATTGAATTGTACAATGATTGTACTTTCATTCTATGGTTCCTTCACCGTTTCTTTTAAGCCACCCTGTACGGGGAAGGCCGTTGAACATGCACGTGCGAATATAAAGCACTATACTTACTCTCCACATTTAAATACATAATACTTTTACTCGGATAATTCTCGGCCTGTTAACCGGCGCGTATAAATTCTCAACAACTGTACCATAACGCACGAGAACACCTATGAGATCATAAGTTTCAGACCGGAACAATTTAATGCTAGTAAATTTGTTTCCCATTTCTGCCCCAGAAACAGTGTCCCGTTGAAATTAACTGATATCACGAAATTAGACTGACATTACATTTCCATAAATATAGATAATTGCATTTATGTATACGTAGAAATGATGAGAGAGAAGTTTTAATGACTCGTATTTAAAATTCGTTTTATTAATAATCCTAATAAAATTATTATTTCAATTCCATTACTTTGATGACGGAACCAACACATTATATCATCGACACCGCGTCTCGGAATATTTTTACATTGTCAAGGATGAATAAGCAATTGCACCCTTTGTTTCTATATCGAAAAAGATCGATCGCCGATATTTTTATCCCACAACGTTGTACTACAACGTCTCTTGTTCGTCGTTTATTTCATTAAAAATAACGCCGACCGACGTGCTGTCATTTAATAATAGGGTACTGCGACGATCGTTATTACTTGATATTCTCAGAGACGCATCGAATTTAGCTTGCGATTTCCGTTTACGTGTGCCATTTAAGCTCGAGACTCGTTTTTATCTTCCACCGCTACCAGAATACGTCATTCAATTTTCAGAATTGTTCGTTAAAATTGATTGTTAATTATAATACAATTTTTAACAACAAGGATCGAATGTAATCGACAAATACTTTAATATCAATTTTTATTTTAATTCAATCTACACGTGTATCATGGTAGTAATTAAAGGTTATTTAAAAGTTCGCAATGTCAATAATAAAATTGAAAAAAGATAACATCTCGAAAGGAGGCCAAGGTTTATTTCACATCAATTGGAGGGGTTTAAAAATGTC